AAATAAAAAGTTATTTAAAAAAAGTGTTTTTAAAATAAAATTTAAAATTATTTTATATAATGCAAAGTTAGCATTTTACTTTTTTTAAATTTAGTGAAAATGGTGAAAAGAAGTTGGGTAGTCATGGTGAAATATTATATGAAATTGGATGACCATTGTGAAATAAAATCAAATTAGGTGACCATGATGACACTAAATATAAAGTTAGTTGTATGGCCATTGGTGGTTTTAACCCTATCGGATTTGACATGAATTAGAAGAATAAATTAACGCAACCACGATTATCATTAAGGACTAAAGTGATCAGCAAATAAAAAACTTTAATCTTAAACTTGTTCAATAGCCGTAAAACGTTAAATAGTATTACAAAGAAAAAGAAATTAAAATTTTGCTCATCATAATTGTTAAAATTTTGCTCATTATAATTGTTTGTCTCGTTATATTTTGCTCATTTTTATTGTTAGTCTCGTTGATATTACGTAATTAAACAACTCATATCTNGCTCATTATAATTGTTAGTCTCGTTGATATTACGTAATAAAACAACACATCTCTATAGTTTATGGATGGATATATATTTTGTTGGAAAATTGGTTTAATTAGTTGATTTGACCAACTTTTGATCAATTATTTTAATGTCCCGTTAGTGGGGCATGGTAGGTACTCTTAATAGAAGATTAGCTATACAAGGGTGAAGTGGGATCGCTTCTATGAGAATATTTCAAATGCGTGAATTCTCTAAAACACTTATGAAATTCAAGAGGAGTTTAGTGCCGAAACAAACGCAATAGTGAAAATTTGAAAATGTTAGAGAGGTTACACCAACGGCTGAAAGTTCAAGACTTCGCGTTAACTAATTAGCCAAGTAAATCCGATAGTATTCTACTACGAAATGTTCAAACCCATAAGATACATATCCTGATGCAATAACATTCCACATGATCTCTCTATGCGGTTTGTAAAGTCTATTAGTGGGTCCCGTTAATTGGATAAAATTATTTTAAATTATTGCACGATAAAATCATTATTTGTCAACAATCTTAAGACGATAATGACAAGTAATAATACTATATATATCGTACCCCCTAACAGTGCCCACGGGGAGAAATTGAAAAAAATCATGGGAGTGGATTTTAGGAGATAGCAACATAAAATGCTATTTTATCTCACAACTCTGAATTTGGCAAAATTCTTGAGTGGAGATGCTCCAACTGTTGAAGAAGAGGAAATAGATCCTAAAAACGAGCAACATTCGATGTATGGAGTTATAGTGACTTCTTGTGCAGGAACTACATTCTCAATTGTCTAGACAACACACTACACTATACAGCGTATATAGTTCGGTCAAGACATTGTGGGAATCTTTGGAAAAGAAGTAAAAAACGTAAGATGCCGGATTGAAGAAATTCGTTGAAGGCAAATTCCTGAACTTCAAATGATAAATTCTAAAACAGTGATGGATCAAGACCAAGAATTACAAATCATCTTGCAGGAGTCGTTTCAAGTCGCTGCGATGATCGAAAAATTATCACCAAAGTGGAAAGATTTCAATAACTACATGAAACATAAATGTGAGGAAATGTGACTTGAAGACCTGATTATAAGATTAAGAATTGAGGAAGATAATCGAAATTTTGAAAAGAAATCTAGAAAGCTGCAAATAGAGACTAAAGTCAATTTGGTGGAACCAAATACTAGCAAGAAAATGAAGCCTCGAGCAATGGCCAACAAAAGAACAAGGTCAAGAAATTCAAAGAAGATTGTTATAACTGCGTTAAGTCTGATCACATCGTGAATCATGGTGAATGGATTTATTTATCATAATAAAAAAGTCACCAAAGTTCAGTAAAAATTATATTAATATATAACTAGTTTCAATTTCTTAAAGTTAATATTTACACAGCTCTAATAACACCATTAAAAGTTAATCATAATACAATCACGCGTAAATAACATAAATTATGGAACCTTGTCTTTATACCCTTGGGACCTAATTAGAGTCCGTTTGATATAATTTTTAAGAAGTAAAAAAGAGTTTTTGAGACCCAAAAATTGCTTTTGGATCCAATTAGTTAATTTTATAATAATACTTCTTCTAGTTAGAAGGAATTTTAGAGAACGTTGACGAAATGTGACTTTCTCTAAAAACTCTTCCGAAAGAGGAAGCTAATTTCTAAACATCAATTCAAATAGCTTATTGAACATGAAATTCTTCTACAAAAAGTAGAAGCAAAATGAAAAATTAGAAAGTAGTCCGTAAGTTAAGGAAGTAAAAAAAATAAAATAAGAAAATGAAGGGTAGTCAATGAACTCATGATCCATTGAAAGTTGAAGCAAACAAATACAAACAACCGTTATATTATTGTTTATTATGCGATTAAGTGAGATTTGATGTGGAAGCAGGAAGTCAAAGATAAGTAATTAGTCAATTATTTTTGCTTTGATGAGAGGCAAACTTTTTTACTAAGGATCATGCACCCGTGACTAATTTCTTATGTTTTATTTTTACTTTAAAACCCCCCGTGAGTAGATTTTATGGACCGCCCTTAGCTGTTCACGCACACGTGAAGATATGGTACTAATAAGCTTACAACTCAACTAATTATAATTAGGGTTTTGCTGGTTGTACAATTAGTAATAGTGCATGTTTGGCTAAGCTCAAGATTACATTTTTTTTTAGTGAAAACCCAATGTTTCAAAATTGTAGTCGGCAAACTAGTTCCTTTGTAGCCAAACATACTCTAAAAATAAATCGCAACTTGAAAACATTTGGCATAGCCTTCACGAAAGCCCATTTCCATACCACAATAGACTCTCGAAATTTTTTCGCGAAAAAGACAGGTTAGTATCAGCAACCAACATATACTCTCAATGATTATCGTATGATGAGCGTTTCTTATGAGTGGTACAATCCATGCTTAAAATTCATGGGCTTCCATTATATTGAAGCTATAGCAAGAGTTCATTCACGGCGGATTGGCTAAGCTAATTTGCTCTAAAGAACTAATTATATTGGGATAGCTCTCAAAAAAATCCAAGCAAAGAACATTGTCTTAGTGCGTGCTAGAATACACATCGGACTACTTGATCACATAAGAAAGGGATTGTAATAAATGAAAAATAGAAAACACTAAGCAGTTCCCTAGTTTATCACGTTGCTAAGACACATATTTGGTATAACAAAAGCATGTTTGGGATGCGTTTATAAACGGTTAAACTATAAATAGATATAAATGAATTGTTCATAAGTGTATAGTACTTGTAGATTCTACAAAATGTACGAATAAAAATGTGATTGACCAATTATAAAATGTTTATAAACATTAGCCTAACATATGTATCCATGACAAAAAATGACGGACACTTTCAGATCAATATAAAGAGATTTTTAAGATTATGGTATTGCATGAAAATTTGTTTCATGTAATTACAGTGAATTGATTCGGTTCGACCTTTTTTGCCCGGCTTTTACCCTTATATAGGTTGACCAGACTAGAGCTTGTCGCCCTTATCATGTCAAACTATGGTGGTCGACTTAGACACGTCTGTCATCATCCTATATGGAGAGATTTGATTGGTTGAGGAGTTTGATGGTGGTGTGACTATTGGCTTGCTCTTTGGAATATCATTACTCTCTTGGTGCCGTCGTCTAAGGGGGAACACCTATGCAAACACGTAATGATGATATTTTTGGACGATGTCTCCCATGGGTGGGTCTTATGGGTCGACCATTTATGCTGGCTTGTTGATCTTTCCTCACAAATAAGTTCTTTTGATCATTTCAAAGTGAATCCACAAGTGATCCAACGTGATCACCACGCATCTCATGCATTGAATTATATATCCTAAACAAGTTTCGGTTGAAAAAATAGTCATTTTTAAGTGTTTCTCTGTTCATTTTTGGACATTCTTCATCTAATTCTACTATAAGAAGCCCTACTTTACACCTTAATCTTCAAACATCTTGTTAACAAAGATATTTTATCCAAATTCCAAATCAAGCTTTGTGAACTGAAAAATGAGTTCCCAAACTCCAGCCAAAGCCACCCTTTTTCTTGCAATGAACCTCCTCTGCTTTGTTTTAACCACAGCATGTGGAGGAGGAACCTGCGGTAACCCTTCACCACCGGTATGCGGAGGAGGAACCTGCGGCAACCCTTCACCACCGGCAACCGGTGGTGGACCTGGTGGTCAGTCGGCAACTTGTCCTAGGGATGCCTTAAAACTAGGCGTCTGCGCCAATCTATTAGGAGGATTGATAGGAGTGGTTGTTGGAAACCCTCCCACCACCCCTTGCTGCTCACTGCTGGCGGGATTGGCCGACCTTGAGGCTGCGATTTGCCTTTGCACCGCCATTAGAGCCAACGTGCTTGGAATCAATCTGAATATCCCAATTTCTCTCAGTCTACTTCTCAATGTGTGTGGAAGGACTCCTCCCACTGGCTTCACTTGTGCTTGATTCACCTATCTTTTCTTAATTTCTTCGAATGAGACAAAATCTCATAATATTGCAATGTGTTATGTTCAACTTGTGTTGTGTTTTGTTTGCTTGTAATTGGATTTGTGTTCTCTATTACCATTCCTCTCAAAATTTAAATAAATATATTGTTTTCTTTAATACGTATATTGGCCAATGAATCGACGCCCACTATCATTTGGATTCTAGATAGATAAGATAGAATTACTTTTTTTGTATACACAGTTGCAAACTTCAACTAAAAAAATAACTTAATTACGGGCTATATTATTTCGTATTATACTACTCAATTATTTTATTAACCAATTTTATTGCATAATTCCATTAAAATCTCTATATTACTATTTTCCGTTTTTGATCTGTAACTGAAAATTTCAAGAGGCAAAGAAAACGGTGATATTAACTCTGAATATATGAAAATTCAAATTCAAACGATAAATGATCATTACAACTGGGATTCTCATCATCACTGATTGTGAAAGAGATTCTACAGTAAAGTGTTCCCGTAGCTTTGCTATGTGTGCAATCAATTATAAAAAGGCCTACTTCACATCTTAATCTTCAAACCATCTTGTTAACAAATATATTTGATCCAAATTCCAAATCAAGCTTTGAGAACTGAAAAATGGGTTCCCAAACTCCAGGCAAGGCCACCCTTTTTCTTGCAATGAACATCCTCTGCTTTGTTTTAACCACCGCATGTGGAGGAGGAACCTGCGGCAACCCTTCACCACCGGCAACCGGTTGCAGCATTCACCATTGAAGCAAAAACCATTGTTGCAGAAATAATCATTACACCAGCAAAATACACGTTAATTATATCTCATCTAACCTCATAAGGCTCATAACTATATAAAATCAACAAAATACTCTTGATCCTATCTTATCTACCCTCAGAACTAAGTCTGGAGACTGCAATTCACAAAACTTCAGCGACATGAACATCCAATTAAGTTCACTTGCTTAATTGAGTGCACAACATCTAATTTACTTTAAATCAACAGCTTGTGTCTAACCTTAAAAACATCATTCAATTACTGAATTAAGTTCACCTATGACCTCTCCTCAACCTCAGGCAGGGCAGGCGCTTCCAATTAACTTAGTGCTCTAGCGGCTTCTGAGTTCTTATTCAGTTCGCTGTCGCCTCGACTTCTTCTTCTT